CTCAGGCAAGGAATTAGGCTTTGTTTGTTTCAATGATCATAGTGACGGCCATCAACATTTTCTTTTCTTTTCCCTTGGCTTGATTTAAGTGGGCTGGAGAAGTTCTGAAGTGTTATCAATCGATCCGAATTTTTTTTGAAAGTAGTGGTTTGCGATCTTAGGGAGATTTTGATACATTCACGTGATTTGCCTTGATTGAGTGGCAGAACAAGGCGGTGAAGCTTGTACTACAACTTCACGCCTACTAGTGATCGTTTTTCACGTATTGAAACTTTTCTAAATGTCCAATTGACCTGAATTTTTGAATTATTCTGAAAGATGTTCCATCTAACCGAGCCTGCCTTTTGAGTTGGCTCAATCATTATTCACCAATACATATCGATACCTCGCTTTTCCAGCTTCCATCTCCTTCAAAACGTTGTTTATATCGCTCATTTTTCGTTCTTCAACCAATGGCTGAAGGTTTTTTCTCAATACAAACTCTAACAAGTCTTCTGTTCCCTTGATTGAGAGTATATCATTGAAATGAATCGAGATCTTTCGTTCGACCAGTCCAAATATGTCAAACGCCGGCAGGGAGTCGTCTGGCAAACCTACTTGACAGAAATGTCCTCCCGTCCTGAGCAGCCCCAGATATTTGTTCAGTGGCATCTCAGCGGATGATACTGTACAGACAATCACATCAAGTGACTTTGCATACTTCTCTGCCCAATCCTTCTCGTCTTCGGTAGCTATGTAGTTATGTGCACCCAGCTTGGTGGCATCATCGCGTTTGCTCTCTCGTCGTGAAATCGCAACAATATGCTCAAATTCCAATGCCCTTGCGAACATGACAGCAAAATGACCCAAACCTCCAACACCAATTATCCCCACTCGCTTTCCTTTTCCTTGACGTTCCACTAGTGGACCGAACGTGGTACTACCGGCGCAGAGCAATGGAGCTGCCACAGCGCTACTTAGCGCTGGAGGAATACGAATGGCGGCAATGCCCGGAACTCTACAATAATTTGCAAAACCACCGAAAGTCTTGCTACCATCGGGGAGAAAACCTTCATATGCAGCAACTTTCCGTGGACAGTAGTTTGGCATACCTGAGCTGCACTCCGTACAATCTTTTTGGGCGCAAACGTAAATGATGGGGCCAATTCCCACTCTATCACCAATACTGTTCTCTGTCAGATGGATGTAGTTTCACGTGCTTATAGGATGTACCAACGTAATATTTCGCTCAACTTCTTTCCCGACACGAGTTACTTCCCCAACAATTTCATGGCCGGCACAACAAGGATAATTGGTAGGCCACTACTCGAGAAAATATCAGACTAGATCAAACAAGGTATAGAATTTCTTACCCATCCACTTCGCAAAGTATGCAAATCACTTGCGCAGAGACCGCAGTGAGTAATCTTGACATCTATGTCGGTCTCTTCCCATTTCTTAGGCTCGAATGGAGCTAACTTCAACCCATCGGTTAAAGCGTTCTTGTCAAGCCCCATCCATCCTTTGAAAGTGATTTCAGAGTTGATCGTTGGTTCCCCCATCTCAATGACTTGTGTTATTCAGTTTAGGTAATGTTCACGGTCGATACTCGACAATCGTGGAATTGTGATTGTGTATATAGGTAGCAAGAAACGGTGATACTGTATCGATACTCTAAATGGTATATCAAATATGTCGGCGTTCCCACATTAGTCACTTGTGCCAAGCGGCTCATGTACACCACTCGACTGGTTGTACAAAGCTAGTATGGTAGCACATCGGCCCTTTCTGTTGTACTTGCTGTATTCATTTGGTGTTGTGAGCTGCATCGTATGCGAGTCCCAGAAAATCTCGCCTGCATTTAACCCAGCGAAGCCGCCGATCATTCATCAACCAAGCCATAGGTTTTATCGCCGACCATACGAATGAACCAGAGGGTTGTACTAGATAACGCTTAGTGATGACAAGTGTCTCATTATAATATACTTCGTTAAATCATCAACCCGAAGTAGTGGGCAAGCTGAAAAAGTACAATGGAGGGGGGGCTAAGTGGCAGAAGCCTCGGCGTGAGCCTGCCATCAAGATGATTGGCCTGACAATTAAATATGATCTGTTTGGGAGTAGAGAAGATGATGTAAGTTTGGTGCATACGTGTCTATTTCTACTTGTGAAAAAATTGATGCCAACTTTGAAGTTCGAAAACTTGTCTCTGTCTCTGTTCATACTGAATCAAATTATCAAACAACCGGAAAATTTTGAAGATGACAGCCGATATCGAGAGTGCAAGCTCAAAGCCTCAGAAGGTTCCATGGCTTCTTGAATATCGATCCTCTGACTGGTTTATTCTTACCACAGTGTGCTGTGCCATATTCACAGTAAGCTTCAAATGATGATCCGTACTGTCTTTGATATCTAACGTGACTTAGGATGCTTTCCTCTATGGTGTTGTAAGCTCCCCGTCTCATCGTTCATACCGTTCATATAGATAATGCTACAAGATGAGTGGCCGAATCTATACCAAGTTGTACTGACAATGAATAGGTAGTCCCCGTTCTTCCATTCAGTCTACAAGAACGATCGGGCGTGCCGGAAGAAGATGGTATGTAAGAAAACTTCGAGACTTAATCATTCGCTGATTGAAGATAGTGCAATGGTGGACATCATTCATATTCGCGGTCTTTGGTGCCGCTATTGTAGTCGGATCTCCAATTTGCGGATGGCTCGCGGACCATACTGCCGATAGATCTATTACCTACTTTGCTGGTTTATTTATCCTCGCGGCTGCAACTCTACTATTTGGGTTTGCAAAGAAGGCATGGCTTCTTGTAGTTAGCAGAATGTTCCAAGGATTCTCGGCTGCGATCGTGTACACCGTTGGACTCGCTCTATTAGTTGACACTGTTGGAAGTGAAAATATTGGACAGTGGATGGGCACAGCTTTGTCATGTTCCAGCGTTGGCCTCATAATAAGCCCTCTGCTTGGAGGCATTGTTTATGACAAGGCCGGCTATATGGCTGTGTTTGGTATGGCTGCTGGACTCATCGTTATCGACATCATACTGCGTATGTTTATGATCGAGAAACGGACAGCCGAAAAATACCTCGGCAAGAGTGTCAAAGTGCCAACAGTTGAACGCAACGGAACCTTTCAAACCTCTACCACAGAACATGAGGTTCAAAGCAATACTTCGGAGAGCATCGATAGTTGGGAACAGTCTTCCAACACCGCGAATTCTACCCCTCCTGGATTTGGGATACCTAACTATGACGAATCCAGCGCTCTTCTCCCAAACAGAAAACAAAACCGAAAGCAAGAATCTAAGGGTTGGAGTCTTCCACCAGTCATTACCTTGCTCGGTTCGCCGAGAGTTGTTGCCGCCATATACGGTATATTTGTTAACGTTTCTATTCTCGCTACTTTTGACAGCGTTCTCGCATTGTTTGTCAAAGAGACCTTTCATTGGAGTTCTCTTGCCGCTGGTCTCATATTTTTGTGTATAGCTATCCCAGGACTAGGAGGTCCACTGGTCGGTGCATTATCTGATCGTCTAGGTCCCCGTTGGATCGCGGTTGCTGGATGTACTCTCACAGCAGTGCCATTGATTCTTCTGCGACTTGTCGATAATGATACAGATGAGCAAAAGATTCTTTTGTGCGTCTTATTATTTATCTGCGGTATGAATTATTCAACTCCTCTCTTCTCACAATGATTTGTGTTCGCTTACTAAATCTGGATCTCTAGGTTGTACTCTTATTCTTATCGTAGCACCTGTTGCCGCAGATTTGTCTCTAGTAGTTGGAGAAATCGAGATCGCCAATCCAGGAAAATTTGGTCCTGGCGGAGCTTATGCTCAGGCATATGCTCTTTTCAATTGCTCCATGGCAGCCGCTACCATATTTGGTCCAGTATTCGCTGGTGCGTTGATTACACAATTTGGCTGGAAGGCTATGACTTTAGCCATGGGCATTTTCTCACTAACTGGTGCGATTCCATGTGTAAGTATATTTCTTCTCAATCGTTTCAGAGAATCTCGCTAATTATACAACAGCTGTTTTTCACTGGAGGCTATCTATTTCGAGAAGAGTAGAAAGTTAGAACTGTGAGCCTGGCATAGACTGAAGATAAAACCACTCTCTTCGGTAAATATTTGGCATTATCTATGTGTCAAAAAACTTGCTTATTAAATGGAAATTTCCTACTTTTTCTCTCCAGCCCGATCTATATACAATACGCATCTCTCTGTCGCTTGTTTTCGTTGTTCGTTGCATACATGTATCTAAGTTTTCTTTGAATCTCTAGCTCTGTGCGAGAAACACCAAAAGTTTTAAATGTAATTTTGTCATCTAATTAAAAATACGTCTGTTGTGTAAGCAATGTTGTACTTCACATCCACACTGTCGGTACTTGTGCGAGTATACTACAGGTTACGGAGTGAGACAGGTAAAACATGTGTACTTGTGAAATTTACCCTTAATTTTATATAAAATCCATTTGAACACAAATGGGAATGTGGCAACGCCATGTTTCATTAATCCTTACTCATTCCCAATAATATTTTCTTCGCAATACGTCATTTTCTTGGTTTAGCACTGAGAGATTTATTACATACCAGTAGTTTCAAAATCCGACTTCAGCTACAAGTCAATGTAACACGTACTGCGCACATAAGATAAGAACAAGCATTTGAACGACCGAACCAAATATTATGACGATATCTTGGAGAGAAATCAAGATTGGAGTAGTATGATTAATAAGACCTTATTCTGCTTTTGACAGACTAAGCTGAACAATACGAGAGAGGGGTATTCCATGACCCATATTTAGTACAAAAAATCTTGAAATATAAAACATCACCATAAATTAGACACAAGGAAAATACCCTACTCAAACATCCATCGACTTTGTTTGCATGCCATCAACTTTTTTCGTCCTCAATCCTCAATCTTCAATCCTCAAGTACCATCTCACCATAATCGGCTTTCTAAACCCGTCCCGCACCATTCTTCTCTATTCGTAAAAATCAATTAGCTTTCTTAGCCTTTTCCGCATTCTCTCTTCCCTTCTTGTAAAGCTCCTCTATCTCCTCCGGAGTCTTTCTAGATATCGTTCCCAAAACATGATCCCAGAATGTTGTGTAAACCTGCGAGTAATTTGTCTATTCATTGAACCAATAGTCAGTTTTAATTTTCCAAGTCTAAGCCCGGTTCATCATCAAAGGAGTTACAGGGGACAATCAGCAACTTACGGTAGCACCCCAAGTCTGGTGATGTATATCATGAAACGAAGTATCTTGTTCGCCCAACCATTGGATGGGATTCCATGGGAGTCTGTATCCACAGTGATCATCGACGCCTTTCAACACGCTGACGATAGAAAAGACCAAAGCTTCACGCAGGTGAAGTCCGGAAAAGTAAAACGCAACGCTGACTCCACAGGTATCCATGATAAATGATTCGGTAAGAGTATTGTAAAATGCAGCGAATGCGTAAGGTGCGTTGACGCGGTGGTGTAGGGAGTGAATATTTCCTGATGAGCCGGAATAGGTTAGCAATTTGATAAAGATTTTTTAGAGACAACATTATGATACATACGGTATAGGCCATCTATTTTCATGAAAGGCACGATGTCCAAAATATTGCCATGCGTCGCTAACGAATATGCAAATCGCGAATCGAGCTGCAGGTGCAAGAAGCCAATATATCACTTGCGCGACTACCATCTCCCACGCAATAATTCCTCCATCCTTTGCACACATCAGCCATTGTCGAGATGATAAATTCAGATCAATTAACTTACAGACGTATTGATATTAACACGGACCGGAAGATGCAAAGACCCTTTGGAGTTCGCAAGATCTAATCCCAAGCCCATCATGCTCATCCTCAAGCTCCACTGTATCCAGGAATATCCTTTCACAACCCTCTCCGCCCACATAGCAATATCATAATCCTCTGACCCTACCATCTCTTGAGTTCCAAGAACACAATAGCCTAAGAATAATCCCCATGCCGTCTGGAATAGCTGCTGTCCGAGAATAGAGCGCAGGACTTGGGGGATTGTGACACGATTGCGACTTTCGATTTCGGCTGGTGTATGAATGCGGTAGCTAGACCAGATATCATAATATGAGATGATAGACCAGAAGAGAGCAGTGAGCCAGTATGTTAAAACGGGAAGTAGGAGGGTAAGGTGGAAGTCTGAGATGTGAGAGGACATAGGCGGGCGAGGATAAAGGTGAGGAGATGACACCGTATAGGCGGGGGTGAAGGAAGAGGTATTGGTCATTGGAGTATCCATTCTGAGTGATAGCTGGTACCAACGATGAGAGAAAAGCTTCAACGCTGGAGAGATTTAGTTGAGACTCCAAGAAACTCAAACTGAAATACTACTTTATAGCAGAAACGCTCAGTGAGCCATATCCATGTAGTTTTTTTCGGTTGTATTCATAGCACAACCATGATAAGTGCACTTAACATTGTCCCGATTTGTAGCAATGCATACTTAAGTTACGTCGACAAGAGAAAATCCATGGTGGCGCTCATAGTATGCACCTGTATGATTCAGCTGTATCGACCTGTTTGTGGCTGTATTGCTCATCACATTCAAGAATATTGTTTACGAATATCAGGTTACGAATATCAGGGGTCATTAACCGACACGATGATGGAAACGCGGCACACAATTAGTGAAACTAATCAGGTGGTGACAACCAGCGCTATGCCCAAACAAGACGGGTATATTTTCCGTGCTTGATTAAACGAGTATAGTAGTCCATCAGTAGAAGATTGAGACACAAGTTAATGGAAGTCATGAACATTGCGTGCAGTGTTTTCGGTAGTCCGGACTGCAGCCCAGCTAACAGGAACTATTTAATATTGAAATTATCCTAACCACTGTATTGACTTTCAAAGCTGAAACACTTTTGACTACTATCTATCTAAGATAACAACTATATCAGGATGACTGAAACGTTCTCCAAGATTCAAAATCTGACGAATTCAAATTAAATTGCAGTCTGAACTGCTGGGCACATTGACTACAAAGAATAGGTAACCCCTCCATATATATTTTCGACACCGAGGCACAGGATGCTTTATCTCCGGAGGTAGATATTCTGAATCTCCTCTACGCCGCTTTCAAATACACGATTGTCACCTCGTCTGTCTCCCTGCGAGCTTTGACTAACTCGCGAGTTCGAGCGTAACGCATGTCCGCCCCTGTAGTATCAGTCCATTCGGTCCCAAAGAATTTATCCCAAAATACTGTGTATGTAGAATAGTTATACTAGGTAGACTCGTGTTAGTATCTCCAGAAACAAAATTGTCTCAAGACCCGAGATTTCACTGACCTTGAGACCCAACTTTGATGATGCAAATCGTGAAATGCTGCATTGTTTCCATTGATATACCCGAAAGGATCCCATGGAAATACAAAATTGCAATGATCACTAATGGTCTTTAACGTCGCTAGCGATGTCACAATCATTCCCTGACGAACTGAAATTCCTGAAATGGTGTTTGCTAAGGCAAAGCTCAATATATCCATAAAAAGAGTTTCGAGCCAATGGGCATACACGGCTCCATAAGCATAAGGAACGTAGAGTTGATGATGCTGAGCATGTACAATCCCTAGAAAAATTTTCAGTTAGAAAAATTCGAGTGAAAGGATTTACAAAAAGGAGATCCTGTACGAACGATAAAGAGTCTTGTTGATGTGGCAGAGACGATGTATAAAATAGATCCATGTATCAACAATTGCGAGATACACGAAGAACTGTATCGCTGGAATCGCGAAAGAAACTATGATACGCGCCAAGTTCCACTCCATGGCAGTAAATGTCGGGCTTGATAATATCTCATAACTGTTTGCCGAAATATGTGATAGCAAAGGTGTTTTGCCAAATTTCGATATGAGTCCTTGAGTATCTAAACCGAGCAATGACAATGCCCAAGGGATGACCGTAAGACACTTTCTAACCTTTCGCACCCACTCATATGTTTCACAGCCCCCAATTTCCACAAGCTCCGGCTCGTTGTTGTAAGTGAGAAGTATTCCTATTACGATCTGTATAACATGATAACGAATGACAACAAGAAGACAGCCCAGCTTTGACACGCGGTTTCGATGTAGTTCCTCCTTCGGTGGGTGGATGCGATAGCTGCTAAACAATTCAAGCTCATTGACGATGTAAAAGACTACACTCCCAATGATGTAAACCAATGTGGGCAGAATTACACCCAACGTGTGATCAGACATCCCAGATAACAGAGGTGAACGAGGGTGTAACGCGCAAGATGGCGCTGGGGAAAAGGTTGAAGTGTCTGTGAAATTCGACATTTTAGGTAAATGAATAGTACCAATTGAATATGAAATTTCGAGGCTTGATAGCAGCGAACTGTTGATGAACAAGAGAATGCTCTTCAATGGAACTTGTGAAGGAGAAATGTCGACTCCAAAATAGTAGAAATAGACATATCGAAAGGTTGCAACTTTCGAGGTTGCCCTTGTATCCTCCTAACCTTCTTGGGGAGAGGCTGCATAAGATATATGGTGCAACAAAGGCTGGGATATGAGCTATGGAATTGCTACACCTGTGGAACACAATAGCAATCATAATTACGAGACGCTGTAGTGCCAAGACTACGATCAAATCGAGAAAACATTGAAGGCTAGGAAAGTTTTATGTTAAGCTATCCAGTCTATTCCATATACAACAGAATATTGAATTTCTATTCTTAATGTACTTTGTTTATTCTTCTTGGTAATTAAAATTGAAAGGAGTAGTACATTTCATGCAACTTAACCGAAATACTAAAACAATACCAAAACACATTCGATGACATAGCAAACTAGAAATTGAGACTATAGGAATACAATTCCGATTGGGCAATAGTACTCATCTTGGGGTCCAGCTGCAGATTGACGAAGGTATTGTTGGTATGGGTCTTTTCTTGAAAATTACTATCCCGAAGCCACGTTATATCACTCTTGATTTTACCAGCTGGAGGTTGATCGCCAAGGACGCTTATCCGGGCGACCATGTTGTTCCGATAAATAAATATGCAAGATGAGAAAAATGTGACAAGATCGAAGCCGAGTTAATATGCAACGGGACTACCCATGGATGTATTTGCGCAACAATCAGGCAATAATGCACAGTAAGACAAAACAGAACTGCGGAAATCATTGATTTGTGGACAAAATGTAATTATCTATTCATAGATACCCTTCTCAAAAGTTTCCGTATCATAAAACAAAGCTGATATGGTATTCCCGTTAAATATACGCCCCTCGAGTGCATTAACAGCCTGTCTAGATTAGCTACAGTCAATAAAAGAGTGGCAATTGAGTTACGTACCCTCAGAGCTGATAACTGATTAGTGAATTTGACGAAGACTTTTGCTGGGGCACTTTGCCTATCGATATAGACTCGTTCAACCCGTCCATACTAAAGCTTGTTAGTGGATGTTTTTCAGCCATTGTCACAATCGAGCATACCTTTTCACCACATTCATCCCCAATCTCCTGCATGAGACCCCCATCCCCTGAATCTTCTACTTCCTCATCTAAATCCATATTATCTACCATTCCACGCAGCACAATGACTTCTGACATCGGTCCGAATCTGCCTGTTTCCTCCTCCTTAACAAATTTCTTACCACCAATGATCTTTCCTCTGCCCCCCGCATCGCGAAACCCGCCGCCTTCTGCATCGGACTTCTTCTTCCGTTTGTCAAGTTTGACCTGAAGAGGCGTAATCATACCAGAACCATCGGCCCCCAGTCCTGAACCTTTACTCCAGCCATATTTAGACATTAGACGCTCTGCAAACCCTTTTTGACCCGGACGAAGTGATTTTGGCGCATTCTCATCAGCTTCTCCCTCATCTTCCCCATCTGCTTCGTCTGCAAGAGCTTTATCTAGCTCTGCTTCCGAAGCTGGAAGATCACTTGGCGCCGGCGGTAGGTTATATCGCACTGGTGCTCTGGAAATAGCCCCTGTCAATGGTACTGGTGGAGGTAATGGCTGATCTTCGGGAGGTGGAGGAGGTGGATTAGATTCTGCCCCAAGAGTAGGGCTATAACAGTCACTTTGTGGGGACTTTGAACGATCTTTAGGAGGAGAATCAATTGGGGGTGGAGCAAATGAATAATTCGGAGGCGGGGCAAATTGGTCTGAAAATCATTAGTCCCATGAGAAAAAGAAGTATAAAGAGAGATCACTTACTACCAATCTTTGGACGATATGATTCCTCGTCATCACTATCGCTTGATGTCTTCCGCGCCATTCTATGAGCATAAAGTCTATCCTTCCACTCTTGTACCTCTCGAACCTTCTCATCACTATTCTTATATTCATCGTAGTTGTTTGGCCGCGAAGGATCGTAAATATCGTCCCAATCTTGCGCGACGGCTTGCTCTTCCCTATTCTTCTTCCTTCGTTTCCTGCCACCTCTTTGCCTTTTCTCTCCGACATAGAATCCATTCACGTCATCATCGTCAGCGGCCCAATCGGCCAAGGTGCTCTTAGAAGCAGGTTTGGCAGCATTGGATGTGGTAGTCTTCGCGACTACATTGCTCGGTTCACTGGCATTCAGACTGGCAATGACAGCTTTTGGGAATGACGATTTCGCTTTTGGCTTTTGAGAAAGCTGTGGTCTCCTCGTGGGTTGAAATCTAAGGGCAGCTATTCAAAAATTGAGTGAGCTGCGCAGAAACGTAGATTGAATTCAAATCATTCATAGCATACCAGCATCAATTTGGGGTTTCTTAGAAGCTTCATCTTCCACTGAATTGAAAACAACAGGTCCTTTGGTAATGGAGCCGGGTGTATCACTCGATGATGGATCTAACAAGTTTGCATAGAGAGAAAGCCCATTCCGTGCAGGAGTAGCATTGGGAGGATTAGACATATTGATATATTAACCATGCAAAAGAAAAGCAATCAAATGGAGAGACCGTTGAATGTTGAATTTCAGTTGTTTGCGAAACCACAGCCTGGCGCATAAGGCTGTACCTGGTAGATGTCACCAAAGTCAGGTGACGAGGAGCTTCTGTCAGATAAGGGAAGGACGCCGTGGATAAGAAGTTAAGGAGAGGCGCGGAACCTTTGCGAGCTCGGAAAGCTTAGAAAGTCTGGGAATGGTTCTTATTAATCTCATACGTGACAATCAAGTTTCTCTTCCATCCTAACTTAAACAAAAGGACGATATTTGAAATTTTATACCTCATTCGTTAATTCATCGGATTCTTCAAGTTACATTCTGATCTTGGCTCTATTTCATACCTTGTACTTATCGTCGTCTCAACCAACCATCGTCTACGAACCCACGCAGGCCAAGATGTCTGCTGCTACCCTCGCCAATTCCTTCTCCACAGGCAATACTACCACAGCAATTATTGTCCCAGGAAAGCAACCTCTTACGATTACCTATAAACAGCTCACCGCCGAGATATCCTCATTTCAAAAGAAGCTCGCCAAGCTTGGTGTCACACCACAAGCTGCAGTATCAATTGCTCTACCAAATACCTATGAATTCATTATTGCCTTCTTAGCAGCATCATGGCAAAGAGGAATTGCTGCACCTCTCAACTCCGCATACAAGCAAGAGGAATTCGAATTCTATATTGATGATTTGAGCTCAGCAGTTGCTCTCGTTCCCAAGGATTCGTTTCAGAAAGATGGACCTGCGGTGAGGGCTGCAAGAAAATACAATGCGGCTATTGCAGAATGTTACTGGAATGGCAGTGAGGTTGTTTTGGATGTTAAGGATGAGGGAAAATTGAAGGGGAAAGGAAATCAAAAGGTTGAGCAGGCGCAACCAGATGATGTTGCTTTAGTTTTACATACCAGTGGAACGACGGGAAGACCAAAGGCTGTGCCATTGACACACAGAAACCTCACTACAACTATGAAAAACATACAAGCTACATACAAGCTTACTCCTGCGGATCGTACCATGCTCGTTATGCCTCTATTTCACGTTCATGGACTTTTAGCGGGTTTCCTAGCTCCATTAACGTCCGGTGGTTCTGTCATCGTTCCCCCTAAGTTCTCTGCTTCAGAATTCTGGACCGATTTCATTACACACAAAGCAAATTGGTATACAGCCGTTCCAACTATCCATCAAATTCTCTTGAAGAATCCACCGCCCACAACCAAGCCCAACATTCGATTCATCCGATCATGTTCTTCCCCTCTGTCTCCAACCACTTTCCACGCTCTGGAAGAAACATACAATGCTCCTGTCCTTGAAGCCTACGCCATGACAGAAGCGTCCCATCAAATGACATCCAATCCTCTTCCACCGGGAAAACGTCAACCTGGCTCTGTGGGAATTGGTCAAGGAGTTGAAGTACGAATTCTCGATGGCGAGGGTAAAGAAGTTCCGATTGGTTCTGAAGGAGAAATTTCTATTCGCGGCGAGAACGTCACGAAAGGTTATCTCAATAATGAGAAAGCCAACAAGGAGTCCTTTACCAAAGAAGGATTTTTCAGAACTGGTGATCAAGGAAAAATGGACAAAGATAGATATGTGTTTATCACTGGCCGTATTAAGGAACTTATCAATAAAGGAGGCGAGAAAATCTCTCCTATTGAGCTAGACAATGTTCTAGCCCGTCACCCTGCTGTTTCCGAAGCTGTCAGCTTTGCTATACCCGATGAAATGTATGGTCAAGATGTTTGTGTTGCTATTGTATTGAAGCCAGATCAAAAGTTGACTGCATCAGAGTTGAAGCAATGGATTGCGGATAAAGTGGCCAAGTTCAAGGTGCCAAAACAGGTATACTTTTCGGATGTCATGCCAAAGACAGCTACAGGAAAGATTCAAAGGAGAATAGTGGCAGATACTATGCTTAAGCAACCTAAGGCTAAATTGTAGAGCTATCTAGCTACCTTTTCAATCCGTTTAAGGGGATAATATCTTTATGCAGATGTATTCCTAGATGTACTACAAATTTCGTTTTCGTTAATACACATACTTGTGTTTTGATTTCAGAGCATGTTTTTTTAGTTAGAATTCAATGAAAATTGTCAAGAAATTCATTCGAACCTCTCTGATATAGTAGAATGGTGAATGAATAGCTACCTGCCACTGAGTACACTACTAGAGTACTTCTTCCCCTATTCATCACATCTCATTCATCTTTCTTTCCCTCTACCCATCTATCCTCGTCATCTTTTTAATCTGCCCCGTCACTATAACCCCAAGATCCGTTCTAAGCTAGGTAGGTTACTCCATATCCACTCATCCTTCCACTCATCCTCCATCCCTCCATCCCTCCATCCATCACACATATCATCCTATACCGAGATCTCTATTTAAATTTAAACCCATAATCTTCCACCTTCCACCTTCCAACTTCCAATTTCCAACTTCCAATATTTATCTAGCTTCGATCTTCCTTTCTTTCTTTCTTTCTTTCTTTTCATCTTATCTTATTATATTGTATTATTCTATACAAGTTAAACTCATCTCATATAATCCCCTTAAGTGATTTTATATGGATATCTAGATTCTAGAATCCTGAATTACTTGTTTATATTTCCTGTTTATACATCTGTTTGTTTGTATATTATTGACTGATTAGTTGACTGATTGACTGCTGATAGACTGACTGACTGCTGACTGACTGACTATCTAACTATTCTGTATTTTCTACAAAACTTCATCTCATCTCATCTCATCTTGTATTCATTCATATCCCATGTCAACTTACCCATCCATCTATAACTACGATACAACTGCTTTACCCATCCACCTCCCTCCCTCCTTTCCACTCCTCCTTTCCACTCCTCCTTTCCACTCCTCCTTTCCACTCCTCCTTTCCACTCCTCCTTTCCACTCCTCCTTTCCACTTCTCCTTCCAAAGTACTCACCACTCACTACTCACCTCTCTAACCCTACTACCCATGATTCAGCATATTTTTCTCTTCTCACCTCGCCTCTTCTCACCTCATCTCATCTCACCATTTTCTCTTTCATCTTATCCCTCCTCTTCTATCTTTCTTCACCACTCTCGGTATTCTCCTCTCCTTTCCACCTCTCCTTTCCTTTCCACCTCTACTACCTACCTACCTACCTAATATACTTACTACACAATATCATAACATCTTACCTACCTAGATAGATAGGTATTCCTCATCCAGTTTTCTCATCCAATTTTCTCATCTATGCTATTCTCTTCTTCTATCTTCTCATTCCCCTCTCATTCCCCCTCATTCCCTCCCTCCCAGAACAATACATCCACTAACCCGACTAAACTGGATCCAATTAGCTCTACTCCCCATCACTACTCACCCACATATCAACCTTTCTATATCAATCCAACCCATCTATATCAAATCAATCATCAACCATCATCCATCATCCATATATTTCCATTATCACCACTCACCTATATCAACTATCACCCACTCACTCACCACCTATCACCACCCACCCATAAATCCAACCCTATCCAACCCTATCCAACCCCCTCCCCATCAACCCCCTCCCCTCCACTCCACTCTACACCCTCTTCCTACCTCCCTACCTCCCTACCTCCCTACCTACTAGATACCTAATAAGAGTCATAATCAATAAAGTAAACACAACAACACAACACACGAAACATGAAAACATAAAACATATAAACATGAAACATAAGACAAATGACTCAATATACCAAGAATATCAATATCAATCTCAATATCAACCTCCAATGACACACTCACACTCACTCACATCCACAACAGTCCTGATATTTATTGCAAGACCCACACTAATCAACTCAAGGATCGAGACGACCCGCATTCTAATCAACTTCATGATACACTACACGGTAGATCTTACAATTACCGATTCATTGAATCACATCAAAACTTGGCAAGGTCGAGAACACACAAGGTCATGTAACAAATAAAGACAGACATTATAGTATTATGGTTTAAAAAAGAGATTCATTATTATTCTCTGCACTTCTCAATTCCAGGGAAACAATATTCAAATGTACAATTTCGGATTCTCTCTTCTCAAAAGCTTAATGTTTCCCACCCATCCCCTTAAATAACTTCATGGAATTTTCTGTATACCATCAATGTGACAGGTGCACAAGTAGAGCAACCTTGACAGCAACAGATATGCAAAGCACACGCCCCTAATGATCCTAATGAAGGTGAAAACCGCTCAAAAGCTTATGAAAAGTCATGTAAAACAGAGAGAACGTGGCATATTAGGTCTAATGTGATAATTAAAGGAAAAACGCCGACGTCCCAATGATTTACAACAACATGCTCAAGAAACCTCCGATGACGGAGACACCCATGACTGCCTCGTTAACACCGTAGGAGACAGCAGCACCCTTGCTAGAAGAAGCAGAAGCACTTGAGGAAGAGCTGGAGCTGGAGCTGGTTCCGGTTCCGGATTGAGCATTGGCGGTGGTCTTGCAAGTGTAGGTACCTTGGATGTTACCGCTGTCATGCTCAGACTTGAATCCACTGCAGTCGATGGAGGTAGTGGATTGCATGTTGAAACCACCCTTAACGTCGTTAAGCTTTGGCAATACAGGGCTAGAAGTAAAATGTTAGCTAATCCTCAAAATACGAGTTTGCATCATTCAAGAACTTACGTAGTGAAGTTTCCAGAGAAATCAATAGCACCTCCAATTTGAGTCAACTCTGGGAAGTTGATAGCATCAAGAGCAGAGTTGTTGGCAATTTGGAAAGCACCTCCAACGGTCTCGAGCATAGGAATGGTGATGTTGGCGAGGGATGGGTTAGCAACGAAAGCCAATCCACCTTGTCCGTTGGCAGTGTTACCGACGGATGTCAAGTTTGGTGCATTGAGACTGGTGAAGTAGTTCTCGTAGAAACCGAGGGATCCGTTGACAACGGCCAAAGATGGAATGCTGACACTGGAAACGTTACGGAAGGTCATGTTGGCGGCCCAGATCAAATTAGGGAAGCTAACATCCAAGTTCTTTCCGTTGGAATCGATGTTGAGAAGAGTGGTGACATTTCCAACTTGGGTGCTGAAGGTCTTGAGACGGTTGTTGTTGTTGATGTTCAAGGTGTCAACGGTGTTCAAGTTGATACCATCGAGAGTGCTCAAGAAGGTGTTGGTAATGGTGACACTCTTGGCAGTGCTAACGGCATTGGTGAAAGTGAGAGCTGGGAGAGCTGGAAGAGCAGCCCAGTTGATCGTTCCAATGGTGTCAAGGACAGAGAATTGGAGGGTAGACAAAAGAGTCAAATTGCTCAAGCCGAAAGTACGATCAATGGTGGTAAGAGAAGTACTTGAAAGGGATGTGATGGCTCCATTGTTCTCGACCATCAAGCTACCTTCGATGTGTTCAGGTCCATTGAGTTGAATGGTGCCAGATGCGGTAGTACTGATGACAACGTCACCAGAGATGGTTTTGCAATCAGCCAAAGCGGTGGCATCAGCAGCACTGTTGATGGTGGCGGTTGCTTGGGAGCAAACAGAGGCGGTTGTAGCAGCTAGATGTGGAAACGTCTGTTAGTATTTATATCACCTTGATTCACCATTCTCCCGTATAAATTATGAGGCACCACAGATCGAATTGATTACTCTCCTGGTGCCCATTGATGCACAGTATCCAACCTCTGAATATATTGATGAAAGATTGAAAACTTACCAGAAACAGTGCCGACGACTGCGAGAGCCGGGAGAAGGGCTTTGGAGAACATGGTTGATTTGAAGTAGCTTCTACAGTGACTTCGCAATTGTTAGTTCAATTATTGTAAGAAGAATGCAAAAAGTGTTGATCGAAGATGAATAAATTTGGGACGAAGTTGGAAGATTGTTCAATGGAGGACGAAGTGGCTAATGATCCGAATTCCTGAAGAAGGTGGTGCGAGAAATTTGAAAGCGAGTTGCAAATGCAAGAACCAACTTGTTGAAGGAAGGGAAGGAATCAAACAATCAAACACACGAGAGATGTGACGAAGGAAGGAATTGATTGATGGATTGATATGGATTGACCGATTATTGTAATGAGTGATGATCGAAATGACTGGAAGTGAATGTATACTCTCATTCTTCCAAGAGGAAGGAGATGATGATGGAAAGCTTTCAAGAAATCGACTCACCCTTTTGATTTGATGTTGATGAAATTACTCTTTCTCTTTTCGACAATTATACGTAGAGAGATCCTTCTGTGCGTGTCGGATTGTTGAGTGCGATTCGAATATTATTAATGTAAGTGAGTGATAGAATCTTAACGACAGTAATGAAGTGGTGGAAAGAAAGCAATTGGAAAGAAGACGACGATATGAACTTTTTCGAAGAGAGAGAGAGGGAATCAGGTTTCAAAAAGAAGTGGGTGGCTTTTTCTTCAAAAAGGTTACAGGCGTAGGAAATGAAATCCAATCAAATGAAATTCTATTTCTTCCCTCAGAAGTTGGCAGGGCGGCCGGAAGTGGTCAAAATCCCTAGTCACTCATAAAAAAAGGGGAGGATCCTAGTACGAGAGGCTTGTTTTAGTCGTGAGTTCCTAGTGAATTCAAGTGAAGTTTGAAAAAGTTACGAAAGTTAAAAGAGGTCACGGGAGATGTGATTGGCTGCGAGGGAAGCTTGGTATGAGTATTCCTTTCTATCTCTTACCCGATTCGGCAAAAGCTCTTGCTTGTTTTAGTTTCCCTTTGTTGGTAAAAGCTAGCTATTTAGGTACGGGTCGGTGCACCGCGGGTATAAAAAAGGATCTAGAACTTTAGTCTGTTCCACTTTAGTCCGTTCTAGGTAGTATTACTCATCACTCGAGCCTTCATTAGGTCATTATTCATCCGAATGTGATCTCAATGGATCTAATAATACAAATGTGAATACCTCCCGGTCCATTTCCCATGCCAACGGCCCTTACCTACCTAGGTACGAATCTA